GTGTGTGTGTGTGTGTGTCTGTGTGTGTGTGTGTGTGTGTGTGTGTGTGTGTGTGTGTGTGTGTGTGTGTGTTTGCAGGTCCTCAGGAAGGCCGTCTATGATCAGTTGAATCAGATTCTGTTTTCTGATGCTGCTCTTCCTGAAAGTCTCATCATGATCAATGGCACAGACTGGCAAGGACAGGTACACAAGACTGTGTGTGTGTGTGTGTGTGTGAGTGTGTGTGTGTGTGTGTGTGTGTGTGTGTGTGTGTGTGTGTCTGTGTCTGTGTCTGTGTGTGAGTGTGTGTGAGTGTGTGTGTCTGTGTCTGTGTCTGTGTGAGAGTGAGAGTGAGAGTGTGAGTGTGAGTGTGAGTGTCTGTGTCTGTGTCTGTGTCTGTGTCTGTGAGTGTGTGTGTGTGTCTATGCGTGTGCGTGTCTGTGTGCGTCTGCGTGTGCGTCTGCGTGTGTGTGTGTGTGTGTGAGACTGAAGCAGACTGTCCTAATGGCTGTGTTGTGTATTTTTTACCAAGGTTAAGTGCTGTTTTTAGATGTAGTGCAATGTGGGAATTTGACTATAATGCACAACCTCACATGGCTTATAACCAATGTTCCCTCTAATTTTTTTTCTTGCTGAGCAAAATTTTCTCTATTGGGTGGACATTTCGGCCACCTGAGCAAAAACATTCTTTATCCCAGACCTGTACAGCGCGCACACAAAAAAGTGTGTAACTTTTAACTTTAAATGAATGTACTATTTGTATTTAATTTGACCTGTGACTAAATGATGTACATTTTAAGTTACCTGAGAAAACTTTTTTCTTTTTTTTTTTACAGTATAATACTGTAAAAATACACTGCCATTCAAAAGTTTGGGATCATTATTAAAGATTAAAGAAGTTTCTCATGCTCATCAAGGCTGTATCTATTTGATTAAAATACTGAATATTATTTCACAAAATAATATTGTGAAATATTATTGCAATTTAAAATAAAAGTTTTCTATTTTAATATACTTTAAAATATAATTTATTCCTATGAAGCAAAGCAATTTTCAGCATCATTACTCTACTCTTCAGTGTCACATGATCTTCAGAATATTTTTGGGACCTGTGATATTTTTTCAGGATTCTTTGATAAATAAAAAGTTAAAAAGAACAGTGCCTATTCAAAATAAAAATGTTGTGTTACAATATACACTACTATTCAAAAGTTTGTGGTTTGTGGAAATTAAACATTTATTCAGCAATAATGTGTTAAATGGATAAAAAGTGATAGTAAAGACTTATATTTTTAGAAAAGATTTCTATTTAGAATAAATGCTGTTCTTTTTAACTTTTTATTAATCAAAGAAAAAATATTAAGCAGCACAACAGTTTCAGCACTGATAATAAATCAGCATATTATACTGATTTCTGAAAGATCATGTGACGCTGAAGACTGGAGTAATGATGCTGAAAATTCAGCTTTGCTTCACTGGAATAAATTATATTTTAAAGTACATTAAAATAGGAAACCAATATTAGAAATTGCAATAATGTTTCACAATATTATTGTTTTTTTCTGTATTTTCGATCAAATAAATACATTCTTGATGAGCATAAGAGACTTTTTGTTTATTAGGTTTATAATATAGGCCTAACATAACAAAATATCAAAACAAACTGAAGCATTTGAACTGAGATCTGTAAGTTAAATATAAAAAAAAAAAACGTGAATGTGAATTCTTCTATAGCTATCTTAACATCCCTATGAAGTAGTTTGCACAATACACCTGTGTGTGACTGTAAATGTCTCTGAGATTTGTTACCGTTCTGTGCCCATCATCCGCTATTTCCAGCACTTTAAGGGGTCATATGATGCGATTTCAAGTTTTCCTTTCTCTTTGGAGTGTTACAAGCTCTTGGTGCATAAA